ATTATTTAAGTGTTCTTGACACTGTCCAACTCTCTGCATCGATGCATAATTTTAGTATCAATACCATATCAATATACATCGAACACTGTTTATGTTGCAGTTACACTTCACGTACCCACAGGATTCATCATGTCTGTGAATACCAGTTTCAGTTCTTCAAGTTGAGACCCAACTGCCTCTAAATAACTTCCAATGCAGCACTAAGATCAAATACATGACTACCTAACTATATTGCCTCGCCCATATTCTCTGATTGCAACCAGGACTTAAATGCATTTCACAGCGTAGAGGGAACATCTTGGTGGTGTTCTTGATATTGGTATATATTATGGGTCGTTGCATGGTGTGTTGAACTATCTTCGTTATTTTCAAGGTAACCCAATGCACATTGCGTACACCTGTCTGGTACACTCTGTGATGGAATATATATTTTATGATTAAATGTCTATTGTATGGTTAAAACGTACATTTGAACATTATCTTAGGGAGTCCAAACATAGTAAGGCTTCTGCCAGTCTGTTTCAATATATGTATTGCTATTCCTACATGTTTTGGAATAGCTACGATAGTAACCTGATCCATTATCTGCTGTGTAACATTAAGCACCTTATTATCTTGCAGTTCTGTGAGGTGAAATCTGACATCATCACCAATCACAGCATCCACCAATGTTCAAAAGCTGCTTTATATGAAATTTCTAATTCTTCCCCTGAGTAGGTTCATAAACATTTGTTTGTTGCATCTTTACTCTGTATTTCTTTGCCACATCGTTCGTTATACCAATGGATATGAATCACACTCACTGTTATTAAAACTTCTGAGTAGTATGTGGGCTGCAATAGCACACATTTCCATTACAGTTATCGTAGATGAACAGACTAAGCTTGCCTTTCACTTTTGAAGAAATATTTAGCTAGATTATCACAAATAGTTTAACAAAACGTGTTTTTGTATCAGCTCTGTTTGACATAGTATTATCTATATACATCTTATGTATAATTATCAGACCTGTCTTTAATTATTTAATCTTTCTGATATTTCTGCTATAAGTTTGATCATACACATGTACGTGTGATCTATACTACTAGTTACATTGTTTTATTTTATGTTTTTAACGTACCATACATAAATTATGATAACGGAATTCATCAGCAGCAGTCATATCAATTGTCTCAATACCTGTATATGTCCTCTCATTGTTATCAGTATTGACTTATCTTGTGACTTCATGGCTTTCTGGTGAATACATTTATGTCTCTGTTCTATTACTACTAGTATGATTACGTGTTGGATGTTTCTGTCAGCGTGCGAGTAGAACAATAGAACGCCATCTTGGACAGTCATTGCCGTGTTCAGTCATGGACATAAAACAGGTACCAATTATAATACGATTGTTGATTCTCACATTACTAATCATCTCTGGTGACGTGGAATCTAATCCGGGTCCAACAACTAGACAAAGTACTTTATAATTTGCTAAAGAACCAAAAGAAAGTGGGGCCACCACTTCGGAAAAAAAATCGTGACGTAACAAATGCTGCTATTATGGAAACATTGAAGTCGTAAGGTGCGGACATGCGTTCGAGAGAAGATAGCGTAGAAAGACAGATAAAAACAATGAACAAGGAATTGAATGCAAAGGTGGATGATAACAACAAGGAGATACAGGCGTTAAAACATGAGGTCGAAGCATTAAGAGGGGAGAATGAAAAGTCAAAAATTTGTTTGTCCAAACAAGTGAAAGTAAATGATAGCCATGAAGATATGGTGAGGAGATCAAATTTAGTAGTTTACGGGATTGAGCAAGATAAAAATGAAACTTGTGAGCTGACGGAAAATAAGGTAAAGGAGATTATATCTGATAAGTTGGAGCTTGATGCATCAGTCATGGACATCGATAGAGCACATCGTATAAATAATGCCCCAAACTTGAATGTGAGAGGTTCTAAACCAGTTGTAGCTAGATTTGTGAAATATAAAGATAAGAAATTAGTACGGAGAAGTGCATTCAAATTAAAGAGCTCAAATATCTCAATTGATGAGGATTTCACCCGGAATACAAGATAAATTAGAAAGGTACTTTTCGCGAAGAAATTTAATCTTTCTTTCCTGGAATATTTCAAGGATTGTTAAATAAATTAAATGACAACTCATTTCAAAATTCTATCAAAGATGTAGATATAATTTGTATAATGGAGACATGGCTTCATAAAAATATATTACCAAATGTGATTATACCAGGTTTTCACTTTGTGAGAAAAAAGACTGCACGTTTTTTGTAGAAGTGGGGGAGGTTTATCAGTTTTTGTTAAAAAGTGGCGTGAACCAGGAGTGACCAGACTTTCTGTGGACCTGACAGATTCTGTTTTTCTGCTGTTAAATGCAAACTATTTTGGATGGCCTAGAGATATCATTCTTGGGTGTTTGTACATTCCTCCAGAGTATTCAAAAACATATTTAATAGAAAAAAAATGGCATAGAAAGTTTAGATGAGCAACTTACAAATTTAAATGCTAGGTACCCGGGAAGTGACTGGTTACTCATGCGGGATTTCAATGCTCGTACTGCCAATGATATGGAATATTTAATTGATGACAGCATAGATCATATTTCAAATCATGATGATCAACTCTGTTTTTGACAATACTGTGAAAGAATACCTTGAAAATTTGGATTTTACTTTTCACGATCCAATATTAGGTGAACTAAACGGGACTATATCAGAAGACGAAATTGTGAAAGCATTAATTGAATTGAAACCTGGGAAATCACCAGGACCAAATGGTATTCCAAATGAATTTACATGTGTTCAAAGAATGCCCTTATTCCAGTTTTGAAATTTGCTTTTAATGCAATAGTTAACGCAGGTATTTTCCAGAGGAATGGGCTAAAGGATTTATCGTTTCTTTACATAAAAAAGGTAATATAAATGACCCCCAAAATTACAGAAGAATCACGTTACTAAACTCCCTAAGTAAAATGTTTACGTACATTTTGAATATAAGGCTGGTAAAATGGGCAGACTCCATTGGGTGTGTCACAGGGTCCCATGCAGGTTTTAGAAAGGGTCATTGTACTGTTGAAAATATTTTTACTCTTCATGTTATGGTACAGAAATATTTTAATAAATCAAAAGGACGGTTCTACTGTGTGTTTGTTGACTTCAGCAAGGCGTTTGATTCAGTTTGATCACAACTTACTGATGTATAGACTTTACATTGATGGCGTTGGTGGGAAAATTTTAAAATCTGTATATAAGGAGTCAAATCATGTATGAAGTGCCAGTATGGTATTACAAATTATTTCCCATGTAATGCTGGCATAGGACAAGGGTGTATGCTTAGCCTCTCTTTGTTCTCACTTTTTATAAATGAACTAAATAATATGCTTAGAAATTCAGGGTATCGAGGAATACAAATTAAACAAGAGTTGATTAATTTATTCTCACTCTTGTATGCTGATGATGTTGCAATATTTAGTAACTCCCCTATTGGGCTGCAGATACTTTTGGAAATATTAGACTATTTATGCTCAACTTGGAAAATGGCAGTAAATATGACTAAAACACAAATTATAGCTTTTAGAAGTGGGGGATACTTAAAAATGTTTTCTAAATGGCAATCCTGTAAATACTGTTGGTTACTATAAATATTTGGGTTTACTTATTTCAAGTAAAAACACTTTGGTCAAAGCAGTAACAACGCTTGCACAACAAGCGCAAAAGGTCATGTACACAATTTTTCGTATGATAAGAAAAACTGGGAGCTTGCCTCACCAAGATTATTTTAAATTATTTGATAGTATGGTTTTGCCTGTTTTAAGCTATGGGACTGAAATATGGGGGTATAGTAAATACCAGGTGATGAAAAGAGTACAGCTAAAATATTGTAAAGCACTTTTGGGTAAAATCATCAACACCCGATGAAGTAGTTTTGGGAGTTGAAATGTCTTGCATACATATAAGATATGTCTCAAATCTGGTTTAAACTACTAAAAATGTATGATTAGCCACATGCCCTTTAAATCACTACACACTAATGCCGAGAAAACAAATGGAAATCTCACTATGCGTAAATAAAGAAGGGGTTATGGGAAACTTAATTTAAATATTTTAAATATTGTACCGTGTGTCTGTTTTCTTGCTTTATATTTTAAGTAAATTTTATTTTACATTTCTAATTTCTAATTTTTCTGTAATTTGCATGTAAAATGTGTATAAAGCTTTGTTTCGTGCCATGGAGTAATTTATAAAAATGACTTTAATGATATTCATGAATAGTATCAAAATATTGATCATGTGCAATCATCATTCAAATTAGACAACTAATTAGTATCCTTATTGCACATACCTACATACAACTAGGCAACAATGTGTTTTTACCAAAACGAGTGTTGCTCTTGCAAAAGTTTCAGATTGCTAACATCACTTGTCATATATTCAGATAGTGATTTCGTACACAAATAGGGTCAACACAAATATATCAGAAACTTTAAGGTCCAAACCAATTTTAAGCATGGTATGACTGAGAGAACAACATATGATTAGATTGTCAATTAGGCGAGAGACAATATTAGTATTTAAAATTGTCTGGTATATTTAATTTAAAATTTTATAATTTTTTATCAACAAATCTTCTTCAAAATAAAACACATGGTCAATTATTCAATTGAACTCAATCTTTGTCATGTAATTGTATGTTAATTATTTCCTCTTGTGAGCATACTGTTAGCCTGTATAAACTAATAGGCCAGTTGTGATTAAATGTTGTTTAAAAAAGATTTGAACGGGTTTTCTGTGCGCATTGGATTATTATGAGTACCAAAGGAACGAAACAAACAGGGTGGAAATCTGGCTAAATTACAATACGTGCATTGTTTCGCTTACGTACGTCGTATGAACACTGTCCTCAATGTTAGATTTCTCAGATAAACTCTTACCTAAATACATCGATGTGGTTTGTGCGCATGGCAATGTTCGTGTTTCATTAGTGGCCCTAATCTGGCCCCTATCGGAAATGGGTAATTTATTTCTAAATAAGTAATATTATATATATGAATGTAAAAATAATTACTGGGACTATACATGCTTAACCATATTTTCAGCTTTGTGTCATATACTAATTGGCACGATTAATATTTTCAAAAAAAAAGGTTTCTGATCTGCCGAACAAACAATTGTTAATATTTATATATATTGTATCTATGTTAAGTAGTATGTTTCGAGATCGCTGTGTTACTTATATTGCATATGAAATAGTAGGACTGAACGGTAACATCACAATTAGCATGCAATATTTCGTAAGTATTTATAGTGACGACATATGTTTTAGGGATTCTTAATGGATTGTTTTAGTTTTTTTATTATCTTTTAAATTAGACAACGTTTCATTGGGCCTAATGTTATTTCTAATTTATGATTATTACTTATTTTTTCATGTTCTAAAATGATAAGTTGATAAGAACATTCAACCATATTTATCACTTAGCGTACACCTACTGGGTTGAAACGCCGGGTTTCTATTGGACGATCTGTACCACGTGTTTTGTTATAATAAGATAATTGAGGTCAATGTGCGAACATACAAACACAATCGTGCTTGACTCGGTCATATCCGTTGTACATTTGTAAGAATTCACGATTCGTTCACGTTAAAAGCTTCTGGTTGTTTTCATCTGGAGAATTATTAACGAACGTGCTTTAACATGTCGGGTGCTTTTCAACTGAAATACAAGCGTCATTGACAGGCAGATTTCATGATATACGAGCTGTCTGGAAGCACGGCCACTCTACTAAATGATCTAAACAGGTGAAGCGTAGTCGAATACAGCATGTCATTTACTGTGATACGTACATGAATCAGGTGCAATGTCAAAGTTCATTTGCCCATCTCTACAAAAAGGCCCTCAACCGTACTCACTAAAAAGTACTCTTCCGTTTAACCAACATTGGCACAGAGGTATTGATAAATTTGTGACAAATAAATCTTTTGTTGACATCTAGGTCACTCAGGATTGGTTAGTTCCTAATTCGTCAACAAACATTTCTCAGAGATAACAACTTGTTCATTTCAGCAACTACACACACACCTCGATAGGTTCGGTTTTTTGCCTGTTCTGGGAAGAGTCGGGGCCGTAGCTCCCATCAGTGCCTGTCGTCAATACTCTTCTTATTCAAATCCTTAGCAAAAGCATATACCATTACATATTCTAGAAGATTCTGACATAAACGCTGCCCCCTGAAGTAGCTCTATCCAATCAGATTGTAATTACTAATCAAATTTTAAATTAGGCCAATCATATACGCTTACATTGGTATTATTAACACCCTATCATGTCACATCTGGGGTTAACGTTGTCATTCTAAATAATCTATGAATTTGTTATTATGAAATAAAATTGTAATATCACTGGGTTCCAAATAACTCTACGCATGGAGTAGCACCTCTTAGTACTGAGCTATATAATTAATTCAATTGGATCAACAATAGCTTCACCACCATTTAAAATACATCTAATGTCAACGCATATGCCAAACACTGCTGTCAACTCTCGCTAACACAAGTAGTGTCTATAACCATCAAAATAATCTGTCACAAGTTGAAGTGGATCATATGAATGCATAAGTGGTTAGTGTATACTATTTCAAAGACCTTTATCGATGATCGATATCTGGGAGATTTGATTTAATAAACATCCTGCTGCGTCATTAAATCTTGGCAGCCTAATCATGCCTAATGGACAAAGACAAAATTTAGTTACACAATATAAACAATTGAGCTTTGTTAAAGGGTGGTGGTCGTCGCGCTGCGCATGTGCGACATTTGTGTTGATAAACATTAAATTTCCCACAATCCAATGCGCTCTTCCAATGGAAATCAGTATGACGTTTGACCTGGGCACGACTTGCACTAATTACCGCCCGTGGCTCTTTCGATACCTTCTAATCACTAAAAAAATACCAAATTAAAGCTTGATAACATCCCAGTTGTACTCGTTGATCTGCGCAACAGTCAAAGTCGCCATCTTTGTTTATATGAGACCCATATATTTCGCGCATGCGTGGCGCGACGACTACCTACCTTTAAAGAACTTTTCGCGACTGTTGTTTTATCGATAGATACACTCGATAACGCAGTATATCAAAATAATTTTACAGTGAGTGCCAACCGACTCAGACGTGTCTGACACAATGTTTCGTTCAGTAAAAATACGCATTTATTTCATTTTGTAATAGCTTTATTCAGTTTATTCAATACATACTAAAACGATATTAAATGTTATCCAGAAATTGCCTATTGATCCCGTCAATTGTTAACACCAATCGGTGCGCTGTATCGCCTTCTTTCATCGCATTAGTAATTGTCAGATGGAACCTTATAATCACTGCTATTGGAAGCCGTTTCACGCATTTCAAGTGATGTTGATTGTTAATGTTGACATAATTGTGATACACCCACTTGATGGCATATAATGGTTGGTGCAATTGACATTTTCAATAAAAAAACTTTGATCCCCCGCTTGTTTAGTGGTTACCATAACGACTGGAGTTTATATATATCGTGTATGTCCTTTGTTCTATTGTACAATGCAAATAGATATTTAGCTATGTGTGAGAATTCCGTATTCAACATGTACTCAACATTATATTTCATAGTGTTGAATATTTTAGAAATGACTGCCCTTTTTATAGGTACGTACCATTAAATCCCCCTCCCATTCACTCTTCGTGAAACGTCGGATATTACCGCGAAAATGCAAGATTTTATAATCGAATGTGCGCCGAA